CAGAGCTTTTTGTCCCCATCGCTCCTCGTTACCGCCCCTCAGCCGTGCTTGCTGCCCCGCCGCTGAGAGGACGCGGCGCCACTCGAGCATCTCCGGCTCATTGAAAGGGGCGGGGCTTGAAACCAGCATGAACTACTAAACATTCCAAAGGCGGCTCGAGGTGGCCGTAGATTAATGCAGTTTTCTTCGGAGCACTTTGATGCGACTTCCTGTCGCCGGGCAAACCTGAGCCCCGCAGCAGGGGCGGCTCCCGACCCCGTGGGGGGGGCGGCTCCCCGTGGGGGGGCAGACTTGTTTTCAGCAGCACTCTGAGGACAGACCACCTCGGTCTTTTATACCATATTGGTATCTGCAGGTCGCCCAGCAGGTGTGATAACCGTCTCCACATCACTACAGCGACCCTCTTGCATTAACGCCGCTGACCGCCGCGGGTCGTTTCAGGCCCCGCACTCGTCTGAAGGGGGCGTGTTTTCTCCTCACCAGCTGAGCGCACACTGTGGAAACTTTAAGTTTGCTCTTAAATTGGTGTTTCACCCAAATTACTGCCACACTCATGCTCCCACTGACCTCCCGGGGGGTCCGGCGCCCACGAGGCTCTAAGCTAATGCTAACTCACTCCGCCCGAGGCTGGTGATGCGTTCAGGTACCTGTTAAACCTGTGTGTGAAAATGTGTGCAGGCATGAAACAGCCCAGAGTCTGGGAGAGGGGGCGTGGCCTGTTGTCTGCCGTGGCGTGACTTCAGTCTCACTCTGCACCTTCATTAAAAACTACATTTCCCAGCAGGCAGTGGGAACGTGAGGATGCTGTTGGTGGTAATTTGGGTGGTTTGCTTCGGTCTGTGGAGGTTTCAGTGGATCAGCTGCTCTGTCGTTACCTCGGTGTTTGTTAGCGGCTCCGCCGGGTTCGGTTTCTGCCCCGGCTCAGGCAACATGTTGAGCCGACACAGGTGAGACCGCAGAGCGGACCCTGCAGCGGGTGACGCCGGCTCTCCGTGTTGCCTCAGCGTGGATGCACCTGGATGCACTTTCAGGTCTGTTAGCATCATTGTCCACAGACGGATTCAGTTTCTGACTCGGGCGCTGAACACCTGAACACCTGAACACCTGAACACCTGCTTCATGTCAAACCCTGAAGCTGCAGCTCTTTTAACTACACTGAGGCACAAACACTCGGAGCGCCACCAGTGAGCCGCACGGCAGCGCCGCTAAACGAAGCAATAAATGTAAAAGAGATGATTCAGGACCTCTGCACCTGCTCGTTCAGACCATCAAACATGAGTTTCAAACACCAGTAATCCCGTCACATGTCCAAACACAGCTGGCATCAACTTTCAGATCCAGTCATTCGAGCTCTGGCGCTGCTGCTACTTTATCTCATTTATGCCCAAATAGTTTGATGGTTTCTGGCTGTTTAGGGACAGCACCGGGGTCCATCAGGCAGTCGTACTAACAGCACAAGTTTGAGATGTAGGTTTGAATGCAGAACATGCGGCAGAGCTCTGCACCAACACGATGCAGCACGCAGCCGAGAGCGAGCCGCGTGATGCGTTTGTTGAGGTTAAATAAAAGAGGCCAGTGGCGCGATGGTTGCTGCTCACTGTACAGGGATTCATGCCACAGCGTTTGAGGCGCTTACATCATCCTCTTTCATCTCGCCTGATTCAAACAGTTTGAAATAGTGTAGTCGCCACAGATTACAGCTGCTGTGGTCACTGAAGGAGGCTGCTGCAGGACTCGGAGGCTAAATTTACTGCCAATGCCACCCTCTGCTCTCAGCAGGGGCGGAAAAAGAAACGGCTTTTAAAAACGAGCCGAACGGGAAGGTTCGGGCGTTTGTGGCATCGCTGCAGACGCACCTCTGTGAACACCGTTAGACACACGAGCGGGAATAGATATCTGAGAGGTGTCATCCAGCCGTGACAGCTAACGTACACGTCAGGAAAAGGATGACGAACAAGGTTCAGTCAGACTGTCCTTAAACGCACCAGCATGGAGAGTTTTCAGGTCTGGATCGTTAAAAATAATACAAACTGTCCTTCCTCACGGCTCTGTGCCGAGCAAACCTGTCGATACTCATTATTATTAATAATAATAAGCCAAATTGAATTCATGAGATGCCAAATTTTGTCTGTTTCTCTCTCTGTCAGCTGAATATCTTAAGCAGAGCGACGGCTGTTTGAACCACAGACACTCTGAATGCATCGCCTCGGAAACTAAAACAACTTTTTTGACTTTCGCATTCGTCCAATCGGTGGAAAAGGTAAAACACTGATTAATGGAAAACAAGGAGGGCTGCGTAAAGACACCAAAGCGTCACATCGAGCTTTTGGTGTTTGAATTTTCCTTCAAATGAAAAAGCTGCTTTAATGTTTTGCTCAGAGTTCTGGTTCAGCTGGTAACAAATCCTTGAGTCCTGCTAACGTAGATAATTGGCCGAACGCTCCTTTAGCCCTGCGGCGAGCCGCTCCAACCTTCACACAGCACAAACACCACCTCAGAGTCTGTGAGCAGCGCTGAACTCTCCAAAATCACGTGTCAAAGGTCCTTTATGAATGTTTCCACTGGGTGCTGCTAGGGGGCGCCGCAGAGCATAAAGACTTTGGCGTATTTTATAAAGGTTTTGTATGAGATGCACTTGTAACCTTGAAAATGATTTTGTTTATTCGTTTCGTGGTTCTCGTCCTCTGAAGTGCTGAGAGGAGCAGAGACGCTGTGGACTCACAGCGCCACCCGGTGGGCTACGCTGAAATGACAATGTAATAATGTCACACACTATTATGTTTACCTTACTGCTATTAATTAACAATGTGGATGACGGTGTAAATAAAGGCTACTGTGGAATAGTACTGGCAGCAGAGTGATTCTTCTTTGTGTGGACTCTTATTCTGAAAAGATGATTAACAGGAAACTGTGCTGAAACACAGATATTATAAGTCAGAACACTTCCTGATGGTTGAGCTGAATTGAGGGACACAGCAAACAGCCCAGTGAGGTTTGTGGGGACTTAAATGCATCGTCTTCATTAGGGTTCAAAGTTCAAGAGTGGACCAAGGATTATTGGTTCCTTCCTCACTGAGGAGGATGTCCTGTTGTAAATATATAGGTACTCTTTGGTTAACTGTCCACACACCGACTGCTGCATTGGTGTGTTTCGTTTACAGAGCAGTGCCAGAGTAACCACAGGCGTTATCACAGGCCCTGTTGCTGAGTGCACAGCCTGGCCAGCGCTCCCTGGGACAGAGCACAGCAGGACCTGAACTGTTTGTTTTATTCTCCGTCAGTTGGGTTGATGAACTGTGATGACCACAGCAAGCTTTGCATGGATATTTAAAACAGGTCAGTGTTCTGGTTCTGAGGTCAGTGTTTCAGTCTGAGACATCTTTGGACCCGTCGGTGCTGCCGAGGATAAAGACGTCCTTGAAGTGTTCTCCAGCAGCAGATGGTTTAAGTGAGCGGTGTGTTTTAATTAAAAGCATATGAATGAGTTTCTCACACCTCTGGAGACAAACATCATCTGACTGTATGAAGGACTTCCTGCTTTCAGTTTCGGGTGTTTTACGAGTGCAGCTTCAGCGATCCTCGATGCGATGACCCTGAGACGGCGTGAGGACTCGAACCGGCTGTCAGGTGGTTTGTTGTAGCTGTTTGCAGAGTAATGGCACTGTGACGATGTCCTGGATCACTGCTGCGGTCAGTCGAACAGAACCATCAGCTGTGAAATTCAAACTGATTGTGAAGCTAGAAGCACGGCGCGCTGTTCGATGACCACAATGAAATAACCGTTAAATAAAACGAAGGACGTAAACGCTGACAAGCTGAAAGTCTGAGCCCCGTCTGAGGATCCGAACAGGAAAACCATCCTGCACACCTCTGATGACTTCGCTTTATCCTTCCAGTAAGACCCGCCTCCAGGTCCACGCATCATGGAGGTGCTGTGCTGCCATCTGCTGGTGTAAAGGTAGCAGGTCTTCTTACCTTGGGTTTCATGAGGTAAATTAAAGAGAGGAAGGCTTTGATAAATGTAAAGACAGTGAGAGGAAAGCAGATTTTAAAGGCTCTGAATTTTATTTGAAGTTTTTGTCAAAGACAGTGGACTCAGCAGCACTTTTCT